GAGTCCAATGCGAGAAGGGTTACCCATGGTGGACAGTGTTTGGTGGAACTCCCTGATTAAAATAAGCTTGGAAGCAGGAGTAGCATCCACTTCCATAATAGCTTGCCTCTGGAAACCCTATGAACCTGGAGCAAGGATGAAAGTTATACAGGTGTCCAGGACTTTCATTCATAGGGTCACTATGAGTCACCTATGACTCAGTGGCACTTACCAACAACACCAACAACAGCATAGAGAGAGAGCAGTTGGCCTAGCAGACAGAAAACCATGCTCCCAAACCAAAGGTGGGTGACTCTACCCCACGGTCCTCGGCCTGCCTTTAATTGCTTTTGGTGAAACATTCTTCTAGGTCGTGTAACCCTGGTCTGTCCACTTGCTGTACAGAGATAACTCGTGGTTGCTGTGAAATTGAACACTATGACACTGAGGAGTCAAATGCGAGGAGGGTTACCCATGGTGGACAGTGCTTGGTGGAGCTCCCTGATTAAAATAAGCTTGGAAGAAGGAGTGGCATCCACTTCCATAATATCTTGCCCCCGGAAACCCTATGAACCTGGAGAAAGGATGAGTTATACAGGTGTCCAGGACTTTCATTCATAAGGTTGCTATGAGTTGCCTACAACTCAATGGCACTTAACAACAATAATAACAACAATGTGAAATAAAAGGCAACTGTGGTGACTAGTGGTTAGGACTTGTGCTGCCAACCCAAAGGCATGCAGTTTGAGACCACCTGCTGTCCTGAGGGAGAACAGAAAATCTCCTTCAGTGCCATTTACAGCCCCTGCAAACATACTGAAGGGTCAGCTAAGGGGAGGTTCCAAGTCGACAAGATAGAACAACAATGTGAAATAAAAGCATCCTGATGGTACAGGTACAGGAGCTAAAGCATTTGTCTGATAACCAAGATTGTATATTTAAACTACCAACCACTCTGAGGGAGAAAGATCTGTAGGTGCCATTGAACAGGCTGACTACGCATATAGTGACCTTGTGTCCTGTTGTACATTACAAAATACTACTTGACCTTGAGGGCACTCTGTTAGATTGGTGGTAAGGAGTTACTCTGCTAAATTAAAGGCATTCGTGGTTCAAATCTCCCAGCTGCTCCAAGGGAAAAGTAAGGGTAATATCCTATGTGATTTACTGCCTCAGAAAACTCACTGCTGAGTTGGTTCTGACTCAACGATAAACAGCAATCCAATCTTGTATCATCTTCACAATCAGCATTGTTCTTGATCCCATCTTCACAGTCACTTTATGAAGCCGTTTCCTTTAGAGCTTTTTTTCTCATTGATCCTGCTTTTCCAAGCATGATGTCTTTCTCTAGGGACTGATTGGCCCATCTTCTAACACCCACAGTAGAGACAAATCTCATTCTTTATTGGTGGGGATATGTTGTTTACACTTCTTCCATGACAGTTTATTCTTTTGTTAGGCCTGGTATATTCTTCACCAGCACAACTGAAAGGCATCAATTCATTTTGTCTTTTTTATACATTTGCTCATCATAAATATTATGCCTGCCTTAGAACCTCTATGGGAAGTTACACTGTCTTGTAAGGTTGCTAGAGTCAGAATAAACTTCATGGTAGTGGTTTTGGCTTTGGGATTTGGAATAGTAAGAAAACAAACAAAATAACCTACTACTATAGACAATCTGTGTGTTAGGTTGTTAGGAAGTATAACAAAGCAGATGCCTTCAGTCCCAGGAGAACACGAAAAAATGGGGGGGAGGGAAATGATATCCTCAAAAGAGAATTACCAACTAAGTATCAATTTTAGATTTGAGAGAGTACAAATAATGGAGATGACTGACCTTGATTGTTGCCAGTAACCAGGGTCACCAGATCTTTTTATTTCACAAAAAGCTAAAAAGTAGATTTTAAAGAGAACATTTTTCTTTCTGTATGTGATCAATTAATTTAAAAAAAATTCAATTTTAAAAATATGTGGGTTAAATACAGAACCATTAGTTCATCAGTTTTGTGAACTTCTGATCATTCAAGGAGCATCTTACATGAGCTTGCACAAAATGTTGTTGGTGTTAGGTGCCATCAGGATGAGTATGACTCACAGTGACACTATGAACAACCAATGTGAACACTGTCCTATCCCATACCATCCTCACAATCTCCAAAACACTCATGCCCATTGCTACAGCCACCATGTAAATCCGCCTGGTTGAGGATCTTTCTCTTTCATCACCCCTCTACCCTTTCCAGCAAGGTTATCCCTCTCCAAGGAATAACTTCTCCAGCAACAAGCCCAAAGTATATGAGACAAAGCTTCATCATCTTTGCCTTCAAAGAGCACTCTGGCTGCACTTTCTCTAAGATGTATCTGTTTGGATACCACAGTTCAAAGGAATCAAATCTGCTTGTCATCCCTATTCACTGTCCAGCTCTCAGATGCATAGTAAGTGACTCAAGACCATGGCCTGAATCAGGAGCACCTTTGCCCTCAAACTACATCATTGCTCTTCAATAATTTGGAGAGGTCTCTGACTATAGACTTTCTCAGTGCAATACTTCTCCTGATCTGCTGACTGCTATTGATCCAAGTATAAAGAAGTCGTTGACAATTTCAATTTTTTCTCCATCTAGCATGATGTTGCCTACTGGTCCAGTGGTGAGAATTTTTTTTAACAAGTACTTCAAGTCCTCACTTTTTCCCTCTCTTTTCTTTTTAAATTAATTTTAATGAAATCAAATGACTTTGGATTTCCATTTATCCATTGTTGCACATTTCTCCCTGCCCACCTCTCCCCCACCCCCAATTCGCTCTTCTCTTTGAAAAGTAAAATTCTTTCATTGTTATACAATCCCTCCCCCCAAGTTCATTCCACCGTGCAGCCTTCATTCTGGACTCCTGTCATGACAATAATACCTAATCATATATCCCTTTTAAACAGTGCTCTCCCTTATGTTTGAATGCAGTATACACTATCCCCTCTTTCTCAGTCTCCCGCCAATCCCTATGCCAGTCCTCTTTTTTAACAGTGGCATTATGCAATATTTGTGTTTTTGTGACTGAGATATTTCACTCAGCATAATGTCCTCCAGGGTCACCCATTTTGTATTTCATGAGTTCCTTGTTTTTCAATGCAGCATAGTATTCCATTGTGTGAATATACCACAGCTTCTTTAGCCATTCATTTGTTGATGGGCACTTGGGTTGCTTCCAACTCTTTGCTATTGTGAACAAAGCTGCAGTAAACATGAGTGTGCATATATCTGCTTGGGTGGCAGTTATGGTTTCTTTAGGGTATATTCCCAGTAGTTGAATTGCTGGATCAAATGGTATTTCTATTAGCAACTTTTTGAGAAAGCACCATACCGCCTTCCACAGTGGTTGCACCATTTTACACTCCCACCAACAGTGAATAAAAGTTCCAGTTTCTCCACAACCTCACCAGCATTTGTTGTTCTGTTAAATTTTGCTACTCTTACTGGGGTGAAATGATACCTCATACTTGTTTTGATTTGCATCTCTCTTAGATCTAGGGATTCTGAACATTTCATGTGTTTGCTATCTGAATGTCTTCTTTGGTGAAGTGTCTATTCATATTCTGTGCCAATTTTTCAATTGGATTGTTTACCTCTATCTTGTTGTGGTGTTCAAATATTTTATAAATTCTAGAAAACCCTTATCTGACATGTCATTACCAAATATTTTTTTCCCAGTATGTAGCTTCCCTTTTTACCCTTTTGGAGAAGTTTTTGGATGTGCATAGGGATTTGATTCTTAGGTCTCATTCATCTATTTTATCCTCACTTTCAGCAAGCATTAACAAAGGTTACTAATGAGTCTTCCACCAATCCTGATGCCACATTCTTCAGAGTCATTTCTCAACATATAATTTGCTCAACATACAGGTTAAATAGACATAGAGAGAGTATACAACCTTGATACACACCCTTTCCTAAATTGAAGCCATACTGTATTCCCTTATTGTTTGTACAATAGCCTCTTGGTATTATTTCCCACAAGCACAATCAAGTGTTCTGGAAGTCCCATTCTTCTCAATGTTAGCCATAATTTGTTATAATCCACAAAGTCAAATGCCTTTGCATCGTCAATAGAGCACAGACATTCTTCTGGTATTCTCTGCTTTCAGTCAGAATCCATTTGACATTAGCACAATTATATCTCTGGTGCCAAGGCCTCTTCTAAATCAAATTTGAACATCTGGCAGTTGTCTACATACTGTTTTAGCCATCTTTGAATGATCCACAGCTATATTTTGCTTGCATGCAGTATTATGGTATTGAAACCACTGAATACTTACAGATTATAAGAAAAAGCTCTCTTATAAGCAGACTTCAACATCCCTAGTGGATTAAGACAAGGAGACTCGTCTTTTAAAAAGTTTGTTAACTGCAGTGGGGAGAGAAGTGCAGCAATGAATGAATGGAAATCCAAAATCTCTGTAAACGTTCATTAAAATTATTAAAATAATTTTTTAAATTTTATTTTCTGTGTGTGTGTACCATCAAATTGGATCTGACTGGTACAGGAGGAGATGGCCTCGCCTTCTCCAGCAGAGCATCTGGTGGATTCGAGCCATATATCTCTGGGATTGCAGTGCAGCTTCTTGCCACTAGGCCATCAGAGCTCCCCTTAAAATTATTAAAATAATTTTAAAAAAAGGTTTGTAACTGCAGAAAAAAAATTTTTGTTGTTGCTGTTCTGCTCCTATCACAAATTAAATAGCAGGTAAGAACTCACAAGAACTAGGGGAAGATGCAAAGTTTCCAAGTTTGGAAAGAAAAACCAAAACAAAAGGCAAAATTCTCTTCAAAGGATTTTATTTTCACGTAGCCACCACTAGACCATGATTTTATTTCCAAGCAAGCACCACAAGACCATGATTCCAGAGGGTGCAAAAAAAACCAAAACCCATTTGCTTAGTACTGCCCTTCACTGAGGGCATACAAATACATCTCCATGTAGTTCTCAGGAATTATAATCCAATAACTAAAAACATGTCTTCATTTTCAACTGACATAAGGTTTGTTAGGAAAACTTCTTAATAATTTATTCAGTTTTTTTGGAGATAAACTCCCAGACTCTCCCAGGGTGTCCTGTGTAGACATCATCTTGCGGGCTGCCTAAAAATACAGAACAAAACCAAGAATGAGAGTTGGCCCTGACACAAACCCATGTTTTCACTCAATGTCCCAAAGTACACAGAATATGAATCAGTCTAAAAGAAATCTAGGTCATCTTCTCGGTGTTCTATCAACAGGGACCTGGGAATCACAAAAGACTGTACCTTCTGAAGCTACTGCCCCAAATAGCAATTAAGACTATGGTGGAAACAAAATAACCTGTCTCAGACAGCTTCTCTAGTTTTAGTTCTATTTCAGGTAGTGATGTCTAATTGAGTGGCTGTTAAAATTTTTTCTTCCACTGTAATTTGAGTGCAAGCTTACAAAGCAAATTGGTTTTCCATTTAATTATTCATATACATTTCATTTAAAAATATTAACTATAATATCACAATGTAACTGCACTCCTCCCACTTCCTCCCTGTGATTTTCATACCCTTTCCTGCCTTCTGGAAACTACCCTTTTGACCTTATATGTATGGTTCATTATACCAAAAAGTGAGGGATGCACTGGTGTTATTTCCCCTTATAGGTCTGTTATTTTGACTAAAGGTTGAGCCATGGGTGAGATTTGTTCCAAGGTGGAAGGGTGACTAAGGGACATTTTTCCAGTCTCTACAAAGCCAGTAGGCCTGGCCATTTCGGTTTTTTATTTTGCCCCCATTTTCCCTCACTCTATCCAGAACTTTCTATTACGATCTCTTTTGGTGCAGTCAGTAGTGGTGGTCAGGCACCATTTAGTTCTATTCTCAAAGTTTGTAAGTTGAGGTTCTCTTGAAGCGATTTAAATCTTACAAGGTAGTTTACTAATTCATTACCTCATTTGACACTCACAAAATTCTGTAGGTTATTATTGTAATTAACCTCACTTTGTTGTTGTTGTTAAGTGCCATCTAGTAGTAGACCCTATGAACGAACGAAAAGACCTGAACACGTGTCTTAACTTTGGTAGTTTCTCCATGTTCATAGAATTTTACTGTCACTTTACAAACAGTAAAACTAAAGTTCCCAGCACCGAAATAAATTAAAATCACACAGCCTTCAAAGCCAGTGGTGGAGTAGGCCCCAAAATTTTCCTCGCCCTTTTAGAACAAGAAGGCCTTCCTCAGGGAGCTCTGTTAGCCCAGTGGCAAGAAGCTGCACTGCAATCCCAGAGGAACGCGGTTTGAATCCGCCAGATGCTCTGCTGAAGAAGGAGAGGCAATCTCCTGTACCAGTCAGATTCGAGTTGACGGTAGAGACATACAGAAATTTAAAAAAAAATTACACACTTTAAAAAAAAAAAGGCCTTTCTCAGAACACACAAACCCAATAGTGTACTGTCCCCTACGCTCCTCACTACAGGGCGGCCTGAGGAAGCTCCAGTCACCTCGGCTCTTGAAACACACTCGAAGAAGTCCCGAATCTCTTTCCTGCACGCTTCGTCGCGGAATTCATTCTGTTTCCAGCAAGCCATCATAATTGACATTTCTGTGATACAGGTCGCCTCTGGAAGGGTACAATAGGGGTAAGGAGCCTCAGTCACAATGAGACACTTAACCGTGTCGCACTCCCATCTCGGCCCCTGCCCCACCACGGTCTCCGCTCCGGAGCCTCATCGGCTCTGGCTGCTTACCGCCCTTCTCTCGGCGCCGCTCCCCGACGCGGTTGGCTAGAATGAGGGGCTTGTTGGGCTTGAGGACAGGCTTTTTCGGGTTCCCTAAGCGAGCCAAGCGTCCCCGCAAGCTGGGCGCCGCCATTGCCTGACGAACTCCCAGGCGCCTCTGCGGCTGCGTGCGTGACCCTGCGTGACCTTCAACGGAAATAAAGAGGCCTTTCCGGGAACTACAGGAAGGTCGCCTGCCGTAGCTAAACGGGAACACGGATGCTGATGAGTCCAGGTTCCTCGCAGGTCTGGAAGAGAGTCCATGACGCCCATATGCTGGCTGAGGCCACTCTTTTATGAACTTGGAACCCTGAATCCTGCGGGGCAGCGTTAACTCAGGACCCAGGAAATCCCATTCTATTGAGTTGATTCCAAGTAGAACGACCCAGGAGGGTTTCTGAGGACGCATGCGTATCTTTTGCCTCCGAGTGGGCCTTTTTTGTTTAGCGGACCGACGCTTATACTCAGAAATGAACTCCACTAAATGGTCTGGTGGAAAACGTCCTGGTGGTGCAGTCATTAAAGGGCTCGGCGATTAACCGAAAGATCCATAGTTTCAACTGACTTGATGCTCCTTGGGAACAGCTTTCAAGAAGTCAAAAGACCTACAGCTTTGGGGAAGTCTGAGGTCCGGGACTTCTCCAAGGTACTGAGGAGCAGCGACGTCAGTTTGAGAACCAAGGTGTGCCTCATCCTAGCCAAAGTCTTTTCAGTTGCTTCCTGTGCATCAGAAAGCTGGACATTGACAAAGGATGACTGGAAGACTCAATGTTTTTGAGTTGAGGTGTTGGAATTGTTAATGTGCCATTGAGTCACCTGCAGCTCAAAAGTGGCCTTAGGTACAACAGCTCTGAACCCTGCCCTGTCCTGAGCCAGTCTCTCTTTCTCAGACACACCTAATCCCATTGCCCCAGTTATCATGTCAGTCCATCTCATCTGGGGTCTTCCTGTCCTTCGCAGTATGTCCTTCCAAGTATGATGTCCTTTTCCAAGGACTCCTGGCCTCATGCCAAAAGTATGTGAAATAGAGCTTCAAAATCCTTGCTTCCAAGGAGCAGCTTGATTTCACCCTCTCCGAGACAGACTTGTTTGTTCTTTTTGTGGTCTATGGTATGTTCAATACTCTTCTCTAGCAAAACAACAAAAGGCATTGATTCTTCTGTCATCTTTAGACATTGTCCAGCTCTGATACATAGCAAGTAATTGTGAAGATGATGGCCTGAATCAGGTACACCTTAGTCTCTAGACCAACATCATTGCTTTTTTAGCACCTTAGAGAGGTCCCTGACAGCAGACTTCCCTAATGCGATTCATGTTTTGATTTCCTGAATACTCATGGCAACCGTGTTGACTGTGGAGCTGAGAAAGCTGTAAAACTATTAACGTCAGTCTCTTCTCCATATATCATGGTGCTGCCAATTGGCCCAGTGGTGAGAATCTTTGTCTTCTTGTTATTGAGCTTCAATCCATATTGAAGACTACAGTCCTTAACCTTCTGCAGTAAATGCTTCAGGTCCTCCTGTTGGAGATAAGTGCTGAATATCTTAGGGACTGCCAGAAACCAAACAAATATGTCTTGGAGAAGGTGAGGCCAAGATGTTCCTAGGAGAAAGATGAAACTCATCTCACATACTTTAGGCAAGTGGTTAGAAGAGGCCAGTCTTTGGAGAAGGACATTATGCTTGGAAAGGTGGAGGGTCAGCGAAAGAGAGGAATGCCCTCACCAAGATGGACTGACATAGTGGCTAGAGCAGGAGGCTGAAATATAGCTGGGATGCTTGTTCACAGGATTGCTGTGAGTCATAGTCAACAGCACATAACAATAACAAATGTTAGCATTCAAGAAAATTCAGGGTTGACTTCCATTTATGTTGTATAACATGGACTATAATATGGTACATGATGTGGAAATTTTGCACTGGTAAAAATTCCCTGCACTTTGAATTGTAGTACAAAGCCTTATAGCTCATAACCAAAGAGAAAGTTACTGTTTATAGAGAGATAAGCAGCATTTCATTACAAGGACAAACCAACAAAGAAGACAAATAGGCATTCTTTATACCCATGCAAGGACAAACCAACAAAGAAGACAAATAGGCATTCTTTATACCCATGGGAAAGAAGATAAAACTGTAAAGCCAGCCTGAATGCTTAAGTCTGTGTTAAAAAGTAAAAACTTTGTTTCAGTATGTTTTAGTTTATAAAGTGTCACTCTATAAAAAGTCTCTTAACCCTATAAAAGCCAAAGGTAGAGCTTTATGGAGTGATTCCACTGCCTTCCAGGTCTGATTACAAAGTGTATAAATAAAAATAATTGTTTTCATTTCTTTATTTGATAGTGAAAAAGGACATTTGTCCAGCAACACTACTACTAAGAAGCCCTGGTGTGCAGTGGTTAAGCAGCTGCTACTAATCAGAAGGGCATGGCTGGAGCCCACTAGCCACTCTGCAGTAGAATGTGTCTTCTCTAAAGACTTACAGTCCCAGAAATTGTGTAAGTCAGTTCTACTCTGTCCTATTCTAGGGTAGTTATAAGGAGCTCTGGTGACTTAGTGGATAAGGAGTTACACTGCCAACCCCAAAGCAAGCAATTCAAATCCACCAGCTACTCTGGAGGAGATAGTCTCCTGCAGTGCAATTTATAGCCTCTGAAAGCCCACTGAAGTGTCAACTATGAGTCTGTTCTGACTTGATGGCTGTGAGATTTTTTGGGTTTTTTTTCCCCACTGTGCAACCCGCTTCAGTGCCTGCAGCCTATGAGCAAGGAGGCCAAGCAATAGTTCAGGCTTATGGTTCACTCTGGCCTGAAACACTGTGAGAGATCCACAGGGACAGGTCTGCCATAAAGATAATTTTTTTTAAATGGATGACAATCTATGTGGCAATGGCTTTGGGTTCATTATCTTATTTAATCCTTATGCACTCATTATTTAATCTTTTAACCAATACTTGGTAGTATCATCCCATTAATAGATTTGGGACTTCCCTTGTGATGGCTATTTTCATCAAACTTGACTGTGTTATTTCAGGCTGTTTGAAAGATTTTCCATAATGCATATAAACATGACACTTCTATCACTTTGTCACACTAGCAGCTGTTTTCCTTACTTCATAGCACCTATTACCATCTGAATTATTTACTGCTGATGTTCTTACTTATCCTAACACCAGTTTAAAATGTAAGTATCATGAGAAAAAGAAAGGAAGACTTTCCACTCGATGGATTGGCAGTGACTGCTGTAATGGATGAAAGTTTTTCAGAAATTGTGAGGATGGTACAGAATAGGACAAGGTAGAACAAGGGTGAGATCTGTTCATAGGGTCACTACAGGTCCTACTGGATGGCACCTAACAACATAAGAGAAGGGAACTTGTCAGTCCTGTTCCTAAATGAATCCCCACTATCCAGTGATTAGGGCCAATCCTCATTATCTGCAGATTACAATTTGTGGTCCTGCTCACTAAAATAACTTTTTAACTCTGAAATCAAATGGCACTTTTGATGGTTATTCACAGATGTGTTTTGAGCTGGCCCATTCTCTGTTCTCATGCTATAAATAAATGATCTAATGTGGTCTGTTAAGGGCCATGCTTTTTACATTTTTGTTTGGTGATTCTGTTGTTTCAAGCAGTGTTGAAGTGCTCCCAAGTGCAAGGAAGCTATGATGTGTCCATGGAAAAGGTACAGGTGTGAGATAAGTGTCCTCAGGCATGAGGCAGTGTTCTAAAATAATAATGTACTGTATCAAGAAAAAAGAAGAGGACATTTTCTGCTGCTCTACAAAAATCTAAAGTAACATCTACAGTGAGAAAACTATGGAAAAAGAGCTCATTTTTTAAAAAAAATTAAAAGTTGGACAATGAGGAAGTCAAAAATTGATGCTTTTGAGTTGTGGTAAGAAGTACTGAATATATATATCATGATCTGTCTTGGAGGCAAAAATGGTGAAATGTCATCTCATATACTTTACCATATACTGTCAGGGATGGCTAGTCCTTAGAAAAAAGAGAACATGCTGGGAAAATAGAGGGTCAATGAAATGAAGGAAGAGTCTAAACAAAATGGACTTATACAGTGACTGCAACAATGAACTTGAGCATTGTGGAAACTGAAGATGACATGAGATAGAGCTGCTGTGAGTCATAGTTGATTTGATGACACCTAACTGAAAGCCAAAGAAATTGTACTTATTTGTACCTGTGTACATATCCAATGGATGACCAAGAGAATAGGTCTTGGGGAAAGTGCAGCCAGAGTGCTCCTTAAAAGTAAAGATGCTAACGCTTCATCTCACATACTTTGGGTGTGTTGTCAGTAGAGGCTATTCCTTGGAGAGGGACATCAAGCTTAGAGAGGTGGAGGGCCAGAAAATGGGAGGAAGACCCTCAATGAGATGGACTGACACAGTAACGACTGCAGTGGGTTCTGGTGTGTCAGGAAGTGTAAGGATGGATGGCACAGGATAAGACAGGGTTCAGATCTGTTGGTCCTAGGGTCTCTATGAGTTATACTTGATGGCACCTAACAACAACAACATTTATACCAAAGAAAGTGTAATAACATTACCCATGATCAGAAAAATATTGTTCTGTTAATGCTGGCTTGTTGTTGTTATGTGCTGTCAAGTCGCATGCGACTCATAGCGACCCTATGTACAACAGCCCTAAACTCTGCTCTGTCCTGTGCCAATCGCACTGTCTCTAACACTCCCATCCCTATTATCCCAGTCACTGAATCAATCCACCTCATAGAGGGCCTTCCCCTCCTCCACCCTCCCAAGCATGATGTCCTTCTCCAAGGACCAGTCTCTCCTCACAACATGTCCAAAGTATGTTAGATGGAGCCTCAGAATCCTTGCCTCCA